AAGTGTCAAATCCGTCCTTTCTGTATTGTTTTTTTCTAATTATATTTTTATTTGATTTTGAATATTAAATTAATTAATCGCTGGATCCGTTGCGCGTCACTATTCTCTCACGCCAAGTTCTGTCATGACGTCACTGATGACCCCATTAATTCTTTTACTTCCACATATTTCAGATATACATCATCATCGCTCGTTTTTTTCTCTTTAATTATAAAAAATATATTCATCATTATTCGGGGTTTTTTTTCTAGACACAATTGACCTCATATTAAGTCAATCCTGCTCAACATATTTACCAGTTGAAATTCAAACTTTAATTCATCACATTCTGAATAGCTTATAGTGGTTCATTTAGGTAAATTTGTTTGTTAAACTATTTTTATTCTGTTTTGATATTGCTAAGCTTCCTCGTGACATGATGAAAAAATGTTTAAATTAAGTTTTTATATTCATTATGTCGAGTTTTTCAATTACTCATAGTCATGTATCAAAAATTTTTGACATGATAAATACAAAAAACTTGATATAAGTTTTTTTTTTTAAGTAGGCTAATCTCTTTTTCAGCCTCCCCGTGAAATCCCCAAGCTCAGGGTAATTTTTTTGCAACTAATAGGAGGAAAAGCATTTTTGAAGAATTTATACAGAACAATAGAAATGTTCATTAAAATTATAAAAACTATGCTGACTTCGTCAGAGTGGCCGGCATATCAATAGAAACTCAATAGTATGGAAAGAAGAAGAGGAGGAGGAAGAAGAGAAAACGTAGTCAACAACCCTTCATTTGTCTCGCATGTCACGTAGGGGTCAGACTAATTATAGACAATTTTGCTCTGTGAAAATATATATTCGGAGGCAAATTTTGAACGCATATATAGCAATTCCATTGACGTGATTAATGACACAAATGTGACCTTGGGGAAAATTTTAGTGTTTGTTAGCCTTTAACATTAAAATCAGTGAGTAGGGGCCAATCACCCACGATTTTTTTAATATATTTAAACTAAATGACATTTGGACTGGCTTAGATTTGACCACTGTTCAATTTAATTTAATGATTCCTTTTTATCGATGTTTTTTTTTAGTATAAAGGCTTGAATATTCAACCTTACGCATAAAAATTCAAAACCTTCCCCTCACCCGAATTTTAATGTTATAGGAGTTTTAGGATATACGAAATAAATATATTAAAATTTTTTTCTCGATTTACGAGACAATCTATTAATCTAAATACTCTTTATGTTAGATATCATTGCTTCAATTAATATGTCTGAAACAAAACCAAAAAAGAAAAATCACATTGAATGAAGCCAGATGAGCTAATGCTGGAGAGACAAAAGATTAAAAGATAGCTTTTCTTCCCCAAAAAAAAACCGGAGAGCAAATGCTGGTTGTTCCCGAAGGTAATACCCGTAATTATTTAAAGTAATGTTTATAACAAAAAATTATATATATTTTAAATTATCAAATGTCAATGGAAAAATAAGTCACAGGCTGCTCGTACAAAACAGGCTAAGTTACCATGCATATTCTACGCGTGGACCCAGCCTTTCACTTTTTAGTTACATCTCACTCGATCTGCTTTTAATCAGGAAATTAATGAATGTGTTAGTATAATTCTGGTAAAATAAAATCAGCATAAGGTCCAAAGTAATATAGTGACAAAAAAAACTCTAATAATAAGTGAGAATTATGGATATGTTGTATTTTTTAATTGTAACTCATGTTGTTTGAAATTTTTTAAAAACCACATTCAATTTTAAATCTAGCCGTGAGCTCTTTCTTTGACTTTTATGCCAGAAAAAGGGCAGTAAATAATATGGTTTAAAAAATCAAATTAAAAGAGAGATCCCAATCAATTTTCGCTTCGATCATCCATTTTCCCACTTTTTGTGCCTTGCTTTTTGCTAACACTGCCTTGAGGTCACAAAGCAACTCTGTCCCTACTCCTTCCCCTCTCTATCTCGGCTATCTGTGTGAACCCATTCACCGTGGTCCTCCTTACAATGCCCACGTCAATAAATATCTCTTTCATCTGTTCTTAATTTCTGTTAAGCAGTCAGTTACATAAAATTTTACCAGTTTATAAATGTAATTAATCTCAACACACATCCAAGAAGTATTTTGACGATTCAATTTGTATACTAACTCCTCTCTTTAATATATGATTTAATTTTTAGTTTAAATTCAACAACAAACTAAATACTCCTCCGGTTCTTAATATAAGACCCATTTAACTAATTTGATTAAATTAAGGAAGTTAGGTAAGTTAGTTAGTTATAAGAAAATTGACACATTTTTCCTAAAATACCATAATCATCTTTCTTAATACCCTCTCTCCTTCTTCTACTTGATTATGGTTGATGAAGTATTCATAGGAGTAATTTAGAGAAAATTAATAAATATGAGAAATGGGTCTTATATTTAGGACCAAAATCAATTTAAAATTGGGTTGTATATTAAGGACCGGAGGAGTATCATATTAAGAACAGAAAAAAAAAACACTTATTCTTTCTAATTTCTATGGTCGGAGCGTTGGAGATGTGCGCTGAGATGGATTCCACGCTGCTAGGCAATCCTGTTGGCGCGTGATGCCTGGTATATTCCTCCCCTGTGTGTGAAGATAGATTCTCATTCTGCTCCTTATTCAGTGTTTTATTTTTTTAAAATGCTTCAACTATACATGTATTTTATAGTAATATAAACACAGATGACAGTTAAAAAAAAAGAAGAAGCAAACTTTGACTCACTTCACTTGCCCTCCATAATTTTTGTTTTTTAAAAAAGGACGAAGCATGGATGGAAAATGTGATTCTCGCCCCCGGGAAAATTCAATTCGGATAATAGAATCATGTTTGATAACTAATACTCCTCCGGTCCTTAACACAAGACTCAATTCTTGAGTTGATTTTGGTTCTAAATATAAGAGTTTTTTCTCATATTTATCAATTTTCTCTAAATTACCTTATGAATACTCCCTCAACTATAATCAGTAAAAGAGAGAAAGGGTATTAGAAAGATGATTATGGTGTTTTAGGAAAAATGTGTAACTTTTCTTATAATTAACTAACTTACCTAACTTCCTTAATAATCAAAATAGTTAATGGGTCTTATATTAAGGATCAGAGGAGTATATTGGACTCCAATTGACACCTTGTTAGAATATATATTAAAAATTATCGCGAGGATGAAATTTGACTAATCTGCATTTCTTTTTAAGTAAGTGTGTTCTATCTCATTTAAAAATGTTCATGAGCATTTCTTCTTCTATTGACCTCTTTCATATAATGCTCTCCATGCGACCTGAGCTAGGTGTGTGTATGGGTTTTTCTTTTTTTTTTAAAAAATCCGGGAATAAAGTCAATTGAATGAGATAAATAGACGGACACGTCCATTTAATTACTTAAATAATTGGGAAAAAATATTATTATTAAACATAAAAAAACAAAAACTTAGATTAGAGCGTTTTATCTTAAAAAATGCTGCGAAGTGAGCGAACGCGGAGAGAAGGTGAGGCCAATGACGCGGCTTGACCGTCAAAATACCCGCACACACTCCCTCTTATGCTGCTCTGCCACACCCAAACTGTTAACCATTCCATCTCGCTACCGGGGATGTTCTGAGCCCACGTTTTATCTGTTTCATTTCATTGGCTAAACCAGCACGGTGATAAATTTGAAAAAAATTAGGAGGAAGGTCCCAAAAAAAAAAATCAAATAACTAATCAAGGTTTAACAAAAACTTGGGTCTAGAATAGTTATATAGAAAATGTTATTAAATAATTTGAGATATTAAAAAAATTAATTAAGTTAATGTTTGTCACGAATGCATGTATGCTGGTCTATTAAAATTATCCTTTTCAACAATGCACATGTGATGACTAGAATTATTCCTCCTTCAAAAGGAAAAATAACAAAATAATAATAATAAATATCAAAAAAATTTTGCTGTTATTTATAAGCTTATTATTATCAATACAAAATAAAGTATTGTTACCAAACCTGATCTATGATTTAGTAATTTTTAGTTTTTTCTTTGTCATTTTCTCTTGTGAAAATTCTTTACAGTAAATAGAGGTATTTTGAGGAAAGATGACAAACAAAGTGGATTGAAGTATTATATATTTAGAACTAAATTTAACTCTCAACTAGGTCTTGTACTACATCCAGTCCTCGATATGAGCTAGTTGACTAATTTGAGTAGATCAAGAAAGTTTTTTAAACTAGTTATTTGTAATAAATAGGTGTTGTTTTTCCTAAAATATTCTTGCTAATCATATGCATTGACTAAAACCACCATTTGATTAAATATTTAACATATACAACCAAAGGAATATTTTAAAAAATGATTAAATATGAAAAATAAAATATATTGAAATTTTATATTTATAATCAAATTAAAAATCAAAATAATTTTTATACCAGGACCAAATGAAGTAATAGATTCGTCCTCTACTGGACAATGTATAGTCATACGTCAAATGAATACCCGATAAAAATATATGGAGAGAGTTATCAAGAAGTTCAAAAGAAATTAATTACTAAAAACCCTTTGCTATTATTTATTTTTTATTTGTTTATAAATTTTAGGATGATTAAATATTATCCTTCAAATCTGAGTGTAATTCTCCAAAGTACATCCGTCCAAGACCAAACATTACAATAACTTATTGGCACCTATCCGCCGCTTGATATATCAATATTTCTTGTGGATTAAGATAATAGCAAATTAGCAATAATCTACAATTTACTAGTTAAACAGGGAACCCAGCTTGCTTACACTGATTAAACCAAGCTGAAGTACCCAGTGAACTATGGTTAGGTTAAATTACTGATCGCTTCCAAATCCACCCAGCTCAGCTCAGAGTCCGTACGGACAAGCTGACGCGTGTCTGCTCGTCCCCCGAACAACGCGGTTTCCTTCCCACCCTCTCTCACATTCCCCATAATACCCTCCTCTCTCCTTTCACCGCCCTATTTATCGCCTTCCTCCCCGCTTGTTTTCCTCCCATTTTCTCCTCCTCTGCTCTGTAATCGCTCTGCTCGCCCATACCGTACACACCTAATGCCCCCTCCCCCTTTTCTGCCTTATCTACTTCCTCACTGGTTTCTCTGCTCCCTCTGCATCTCAGTACTTTGCTAATACGGTCAAGCGATTCAAGTCCTAAAATGCTCTGAGTAGTGTTTCTGTTTGATTCTTTTTACTGTTCAACTTTCCAGCAACTCTCGGCAGTTCTGTTGCTTTAACCGTCTGAACCATATGGCGTCTTCGGAGAATTTGGCGAGTATCGACCCCTGGGCCTTCCGATCCCCCTTCGCAGATTCCTGGTTTACTGACGCTTTCTCCCGCGAGACTGAAACGCTCACGAAAGTGCTGCAGAAATCGCTATCTGGTGCGAATCCCGAGACACTGACAGACGACACGATTTCTCCGTTTATGGACCTTATCAAACCCGATACGTCTCCAACCCCGACGGTTTCGGGCCTTTCCGGTTCGGACCAGGAAGCGGCACCTAAACGCCAGCGGGGCTCGATTCCGCCGGCTGCTGGAGGGAAGGTTTCGAAGCGCAAGTCACGTGCGTCGAAGAGGTCACAGACGACTTTTATAACGGCGGACCCGGCGAACTTCCGGCAAATGGTGCAGCAGGTGACCGGCGTGAGGCTGGGGAATTCGCAGATGCCAATGGCACCGATCCTGAAGCCGGAGCCACAGCGACTGGGTAGCCGGGTTCCTGTGAGCGGCGGAGCGGGGTGCTTGCCGACGCTGGACACCTCCGCATTCTTGCTGGATCATCACCAACAGCAGGTGGTGGGACCCGCGTCGGCGGCGGCTGGGGCTGCTGGGTTCTCAGGGTCGGCCCCACTTTCTTTTGCACCCTCTGTTGGGGTGGTGGATGGTGCTGGTATTGGGTCCGCGGGTTTAGATTTTGACACTTACGCGAGCTTTCCCACTCTGGAGTCTTGGAAAGTTATGTGAGATTCTGCGCTACGTTATGACCCAATTGTTTTGGCTTTTTCAGAGCCTTGATTGGGGTCCCAGTGATGTGGAGTGGAAGATGGGTTAGTATCAGTCTGTAAATTTGGCAAGGAATGACTCTAGTTCTTATTTGAGCCTTTTTTCCCTATTAGATTTTTCTTGTCACATAGTTTATCTGGGGTTGTATTGGATAATTTAGATATTATTACCTATGTATCAATGCCATTACTTGTTTATGTAGCATTATCGACAATGTGGTGTTGGTATCTTTGGTACATACTCTCCCTCTCTCCTACACACAACGCAAAAGTTTCCTATTGGATCATAAATGTTTCTGGTTTAATCTGGATTGTAAACTAATTTCCGCCAAAAGGAAAAAGACCAGAGGGATCGATGCACGAATCCGTTCACAGGGGGACTTCTTTTGTGAACAGAAACTTCACTTTTGCGTGTGCTGGGTTTAGATCAGACAATTTGGAAGATGGATATCTGTATGCATATGACTTGGGATTTTGATTGTATCTGTGTTGAAGAAAGGTCCCTACTTTCACGCCTAATAAAGGCATCAGATGTGGGGAAGGGGCGGGGCCTGCAATTAAAAAAATAAAGCAGCGAGGCGCTTTTGGTGGTTCAAATTTAGATGGCACGCACGTTTCCCTTTCAATGAATAATGCACACAGCTAATATAGGGGGTTATATTTGCTTTTGAGCACTTTTTTTTAGCTTTGCATCCTTGACGAACCATGTCTGTATCCGCCTGAAATATTTCTATTTCATGGCTAGCTATCAACATTATTTTAGGCAATGATTCAAATTCGGAGAGAACCATTTTGGAAAAATTTTAAACGCCGTCTGCTGAATGGTTAAGAAGCTACTACCTCCGGTCCTTAATATAAGATCCCATTTGACTTTTTGTTTGGTCCTAATTATAAGACCCAAATCTATTTTGTCTTTCATATTTATGTATTTTTTTCAAGATAGTCCTTATAATAATGATAGTTCTAGCCAATACACTTAATTAACAAGGATATTTTAGGAATGACAATACTTATTTATTACAAATAACTAATTTAACTTACTTTCTTAATCTCCTCAAATAAGTCAATTGGGTTTTATAATTAGGACCGGAGATAGTATATCTCTTGGAGGAACCAATTTGAACGTGCATCTCAAATCTCAACCATTCAAATTTATTAGAGATTAAATATTTAATATTTAAAAAAAAATAGATGCACGTACTTTCTTAGCTGTAATTCTGTAAATTTTTTGAAAAGTTTAAACTTATGCCATTACAGAACTCATTGAAGCTGATTCCATCCGTGAAGTCGTTACCTGTGTTGATGATTCAGAAAACAACCACGTCCCCACATTAACGAGCTCCTAAGCGCGCAACTGAATTTTAATGTTCGGCTGGAAATTGTTTAAAATCTGGAACTTCTCCTTCATGTGGGGCAGTTTTAGACATATTCAATAGTTGAATACCGAGTTTAGATACGGGCATATAATAAGGAGAATAATCTCTTATCAACAGCTTGATATTTCAACTAAACGACAACAAGGGTTTACTCAAGTCAAACGGATTAATGGAGCGATAAATAATGTAATGGGATTACTTTTCACTCAAAAAAATAAAAAAAAAATAATGTAATGGGATTAGGTAGGGAAGTATACCAAAATGACACCAGTCATTTGGGTGTTTCAGGGTAAGGAGGGCTCAAAAATTATATTCCTTCCTTCCCCTCTTATAGAGAAGAAATGGGATGCTGTAATTTTGGCTGTATTATCAAAAAATAAAGAAAAAACAACCATAACATCTAAAAAAAAAAACTTAATTACTAAAAAATCTTGGTGATGAGTGACCTTTCTAAATTTGTTGTCATCTAGAACCCGTCATTATATGCTCTTTAGTTATCAGTGGACTTTAAGATAAATAAATTCATTTTTTGGGACCTAATTTTAATTCTCCTAAATAAACTGCTCCTTTTTCCATCTGTATTCTCTTTAATAAAAATGTTTATGACTTCAGTCAATTTGTTTGAAAAAAATTCTGCCCACTCGCACATTTAGAGTTGTTAACTATGTTAATTTAATTTTTTAAAAAATTAAAAGACATGCGTTTATTTGTTATGAAAAAATTGATGAAGTATTAGAGAGTGGTTACTTGGGATAAAGAAAAGATATACAGCAGAAGGCCAATGGCACGTAGTCTGCGCCCACCATGAGTATAAAATTGCTAAAATCAGTCAAATAAAATAATCTATAATTAATTTTTAATTATGATTTAAAAATCTTATCTTAATTTAAATAAAATGCAATTATAAGTAATTTTTTAAATTATGTTAGGCCAGCCTCAAGTTATCAACACACCGTTGGTGAATAGTCTCAGCAGGGCACTTTGGGGAAAAAGGATTTGGCTATCTAGAAGCTAGTATATTTCACTCCTTTGTATATTTATTTTAAATTTGAAAGATTCGTTTTGTATCACATATATAACAAGCTATGTTCTAGATAAATATGACATGGTGGAATATTGAAGTTTAACCCCACGCAATAAGCAGGCAAGCAAGGCCGAGCCTTCTTCCTTCCACAAGATGCTGATGTCAACCTGTCTCTTTTCTCTGAAACATCCTGACCCAAGTGGGTTTGTATTTTCCACCAACTTAATTCAATAATTTGAATCAGACGATGAAACCTATCATTATATCGCAGCCCAGCAACATTCGTGAGAAGTTCTCTCCTCAGCCTACAAAGCATTATTGTTGTTAAAATTTTAGTCTTCGACGCAAAATAGGGCGTGAATCCATGCGGATAGTGACAGATTACAAAGAAAGGTCCTCGTGGGTTGGTTAAAACCATCAATTGAAATAGATTTGCGTAGGCCATAATTATAAAAAGAAAACTCTGTTTGATGGGGCCAGCTCAGCAGCACCACCGTTATAAACTTAACTGAAACATATCTATTAGTAACCCAGATATTTTTGAAGAGTTATGCCCAGAAGCTAGCTGAAACATCCCCTAAAATCTGAAGCAAGCCATTCATATTTTATGAATAGCGCGTTCATTTTTTTTAAATATAAAATTAATATTCCGAGTAAAAAAAAATCTTTACTGTTTAAAGTTTTAACGAATAATTTTAATTTTTTTTTTATTTTGAACGTGGGGTGGAAGGAGGAAGGAAAGTGAGAAGCAAGGGAAGCAGCCAAAATGACGAGTGCCATAACGTAAGCGAATGAAAGCGACGGTGTGATTGAAAAGGATGGCAGATGCCTTGGGGGCCCAGAGCCAACCCACTTCATGATTTATCACCCAACAAATACGTATTTACTTGGTCTTGCAATCTCACGCAACATTATTTTTAATATATATAAATATAAAGGCAGTGAGGTGATGACACCAACGCTGTCAAAGAGGGGATGCACGCACCTCCTTTGTGTGTTATTCCTTTCTTTTCGTTCTCCGTATGTCTTCTTTTCCCAATCATAATCATCGCTTCTGGTGATTGATTGCGAGTTTAAAATTAAAAAAAAAAAAGATTATGAGTTTGTCAGAATAAATAAATACTACCTCTGATTTTAAATATAAAAACTAATTGAATAATTTAAATAAATTAAAAAAATAAATTGAGTTAGTTATTTGTAATAAATAGATATTATTATTTTTAAAATATTCTTACTAATTAAATTCATTAATTAAAATTATTATTATTAGAAGGAGTATCTTAAAAAAATAAACAAATATAAAAAATAAAGTAGATTCAAATATTATATTTAATATTAAAAAAAATCAAGTGAGTTCTTATCGGAGCTGGTAAATAAAATGGAGATAAAGGGATAAGGGTTATAATTACGGAGTTACGTTGCAGATGACAAGTAACTGAGAAGATGCCAAGATCCTATGCCGCTACAGGATGTTTGCTGTAGCTTCATTATTGGTCTTAACCCGCTTTTTAGGATTGATTTATTATAGCATTATCATTTGATCCTGTTTGTGACGAGTTTTTCAAAAAAATGTTTTGGGATTCATGCATGGCAAGCACAGCCGATTTATTTTTCAAATTTCAACAAAAAATTAAAATATCCACTGATGTAAAATATTTACACCCACACGATTTTTTTTTTTTTAACTTGAAGCCTTGAAGGACTACGTGGAATTATGAGCGTGTTTGAACCGCAATGTCTTATTTATAAAGTTACCCCGTTATGTATTTATGAATCACCAGTATGGTTTTTTAGGAATCCAATAATTTTTAATAGCTGAGAATCAATAATAATGCGGGAACCTTCAGTACTATAGCATATTAATGATTCTCACGTTCATGTATAATAAAAATTGTAACTTTCAACATGTTTCTTAGCCAGTCGCACAAAAATAATTTTCAAAGCATGCAATTACATAAACGGAGATACTAGTTGGTGTGTGTTTCACTAAATAGCAGTCACAACGGCATTAAGCTTCAAAAGTTGAAGCACCTCCATTCCATGCATTGTAGCATTTGCTGGTAAAAGGTCAAGCATGGTGGGCGGTCCTCAGACGGCGCAGCAGGATCGTCTTCTTGCTCCTTCGAAGCGCCACGTGTCCTTCCTGGTTCAGCGGCCCCGCCCTCCCACGTTGCCTCTTGTTTCATTTCTCAGATCAGGCAAACAAAATCACCGGTTCAGCATGTGCTCCGCATTCAATCATAAATCACATCAACGCCATCTCCCCTAATAAGCTGATAAGAAATTAATTAGAAAAAGCAGATACTCTTCCGGCCCTTGATATAGGACATAATTGTTGAGTTGTTTTCGTCTTAAATATAAGACTCATTTCTCATATTTATCAGTTTTCTCTAAATTACTCTTATAAATACTCCTTCAACCATAATCAAGTAAGAGAGAGAGAGGAAGTATTAAGAAAGATGATTATGGTCTTTTAGAAAAAATGTGTCACATTTCTTATAATTAACTAACTTTTTTGATCTAATCAAATTAGTTAAATGGGTTTTATATTAAATATCCAAAGAGTATATAAAAAATGTTATTTTTTCAAATAAAATCCTTGTTTATAAGGAGAGAGTATGTGGGAGAGAATGATAACTAAATAGTTTGTCTTGATAATAAAAAACAATGATATTAATATAAATAATTAAATGCGGGTAAAATACAAAATAAACAAAAAAAATGGAACTGAGGGAGTAACACAATTAAGATTTCACGAGATTTAGAATTTATGAATATTTCACTGAAAAAGCGAATTAATCAAATTTCATAAAACTGGCAGCCAATTTATTACTCATTTGGCCATACTTATAAGATAAAAAAAAGATATTTTTTAGTTCTATTTATAAAGCATCGAGAGAATTTTTTATATAGGAGTATAATTTTACCTTTCATTTATTATTGTGTTAATTTTATTTATATGATGTATAATAAATAGGGATAAAATTAGAATGTTGTAAAATTTCAAATAAAAATTAACGAGATTTAAGATTTTTTTTAATCTATATAAAATATATTAAAAATAATTTATAAATAGATCAAAGAATATTTTTTAAGTGAATTTAGGTTTTTTGCATAACAGCTAGCAGGGAAGCTCGCTTGACTACGCAACTCTGTGAGAAGTCCATGACAGGTGGAGCCATTTTCTTGTTCTTTTTTTTTTTGACCGGAAGCCATTTTCTTGTTCACGAGTTATGCAATGAGCTGTCAATGTTTTCCCTGTTTGCCTTAAACCCATCATATTTGTTATTAAATACTAATAACTCCTATCTTATATAATATAAGATATTATTTCTCTGGTTTAAAAAAATAATATAAGATATTATTTAATTTTAATTTTAAATATAAGATTTTAATTCATTTTATTTATTATATTTATCTATTTTTTTAAGATAATTCTTCTAACAATAGTAGTTCTAGCCAATAAACTTAATTAGCAAGGATATTTTAAGAAAGACAATACCTATTTATTACAAATAACTAATTTAACTTATTTCCTTAATCTACTCAAACTAATCAACTAGCTCTTATATTTAAGATTAAAAATAATATAATTACTTCCACATTTTTTTCTAGAAAGATGTACAGCGTCCCCTGCTTGATTTAAAAATTAGTTGGCAGCTAGATTTAATCCTAGATATAATATCTTAATTTATTTTATTTTTTAAATTTATAATTGATATTCTAAATACCCATTAACCACACATATTAACGGAGTTTTTATTCAAGAATAATTATAATTAAAATAATACTAAAAAAATAACTTATCGTAGTATTGTTGAAAACAGATTAAACTAATTTTTTTAACTAGCTTTCAGTGTTTAATATCTTCCTACTAGACTGTAAGGATTAGTTTTTCTTTGGGGAATTGATGAGTTAGATACTCAACGAGGAGAACATGGGCATGAAGTGATGGAGCGGGTGTTGACCGAAATAGTTGCAGCTTTATAGGATGGCGGTGGGGCCCGGACCTGATGACGTGTACTCTTGACTTTTGCTTTACTGTCAAAGTATCAGTATTGATTTAGCGGAGATTTCTGTGTGCTTGGCGAGTCATTTGACAGTTATACCCTCGCTCTCGCTGCCTCACCTCATGTTTGCGTCACCATCTCCTCATAAAATCACACTTAAAAAAATATTCTCATATAAATTGAGTTAAGTTTTTTTTTTCATGTACTTTGTTAAAATATCCTAAAATTATTTTTGAAAAATTAAACCAAACATCCTCAAGCACACAGAAACAAGGAAAAATCATAATTAAATCCATCTGAAATAATAAAATTTCAATTAAAGCATATACTTTTAACAAATTCCTAATTAAGGCAAGAGGCCTAATTAGGGATTTTCAAATGTTGCTAAAAGACCAAAATGTCTCTTTGTAATCAAAAAGAAAAATTGAATGTAGGTATAAGCCAAATTTTAGTTTTAATTATTCTAGTAGATTTACTAATGAGGATGTGGTCTTTCTTAACTTTATGTCAAAGTTGTGTTTCATACTTGTGAACGTTATGTCAACTCTAGAATTTATGACCTTTTAGTTATTTTTTATATAATAAAAATCTGATATTGAATAAATCTTGGAGACTGAAAAATTGAAGATGAATTGATGAGTTTCAATGTAATTTTTGAAACAGTAAAATTAATTTTAATAGATATTCAAGAATTTCGTGAATCTTTTATTTGATTTTTTCTCGCACAAAAAAAAAATCTTTGATCTTGTTAATCTTTGACATTTGAAATCATAAAATTTTTATTAGTTCCCATATTTTGGTAATTCTATGGATATCTAGAAATTATGCATTTTTTTATCTTGACTTTTCAATTATTTTTTATTGGCCATAATCGTGATTTTTATTTTTTCTTTTTTTTATATGATAATGTTTTTGGCCAAATCTTCATATGATAATATTTAAAGAAAAAACATGTTAGTTAAATTCAATTAAAAGGACTAAAACTAAAATTAGGCTTTTTAATTATGAAAGGCATTTTGGTCTTTTAGTAATATTTAGAAATCTCCAATTAGGCCTTTCAGCCTAATTAAGAATTTGTTAAAAATGCAAGCTTAAATTAGGATTTTTCTATTTCAAATGGATTTGATTAGAATTTTTTCCAGAAACAATTATGCTCCGCTAGCTTCAAAGCAGTTATTTTAAATAGTTATGAAGCATATTTGGATGAAAATGAAATTAGAATTTTAAAAATATTTTTATGAGATATAAAATAAATATGTAAAAAAATTTGTGTTATTTAAAAAAAATATTTTTATATATTGCCAAACACTTTCTCAGTGGGCAAAAGACAAGTATAGTCCAGCGGATTTAAAGCTCCCAGAAGGAAATGAGACCGGCGTAATCATACGATATGACGACTCATCAGAATTTCCACCGTGACAATTATACCACTAGTTTACAGCAGATTATTACCGGATATGCAAAGTTGGGCCTATTTGGGCCTACCAAAACAAGCCCAAATAGAGTGAAAAGGAATGTCCTCTTCAGATCCATCAATGGCATTTCCTCCGTCACAGTATGCGGGGAAAAGCAAGGAAAAGCGATATGTGCTGATGAATACACGTAAATTCGGTATAAAAGGTACTCCTCCGATCCTTAATATATGACTCAATTGTTGAGTTGGTTTTGGTCCTAAATATAAGATCCATTTCTTATATTATCAATGTTCTCTAAATTACCCCTATGAATACTCCCTCAACTATAATCAAGTAGAAAGGGAGAGGAGAGATGGTATTATGGAAAGAGATGATTAAGGATGATATGGTGTTTTAGAAAAAACGTGTCATATTTCTTATAATTAACTAACTTACCTAACTTCCTTAATTTAATCAAATTAATTAAATGGGTCTTATATTAAGGACCGGAGGAGTATTTGGATTGGTTTTAAGAATAATTTTATGCTATATATATGTTAAGCACGCAATAAGAGTTTTGTCTATAGAAACACTTTTTCTGAGTGATTGCAGGGGTTTGCGAAACTCCCCCAAACATCAAGCTTGAAAATGCCATCCCTGTCAAAATAAAATCCAAACATTATACTAGTACTAATTAATCAGCTTTACAGTGCGTATTTGACCGGTAGGGATGTTCAGGAAACCTTCCAAAAACCAATTTCACGCGTTCTAAGGTAAATGCAAGATAAAATCACTTAAAAATAAATTAAACCAAATACTAGAAGAAAAAGATCAGAGAAGAGCATCGTCAGAGTCGAACTCGAGAAACGCCCATCCGCTCTCGACGTCCCAGGCATTCTTGGATCCAGTCAAACAGGCCTCGGCCATGACCGAATTTCCCATGTTGCCCTCTTCCTTTCTCTGGACGCCACCGCATCCTGCACCGTGAGTAATGTCCATACAATATAAATTTATTTACCAGAATTCAGAAGCTAAATTTCAGATATCACTTTCAGTACAATTTATTTTGCAAATTTTGTGCTGTGCACGAAAGTTATAGATACATATATGATATATCTTTGATATATATATATCTCGACCAAAAAGTTTATTATAAATGATTTTTTTTAAAAAAACTGGGGATCTCAAATCGTCTTTTTATCATACAGACGGAAAAAAAATAATTTTATCTCAAGCGGCAAAAAAAATTATCTTATCATCATCAAAATCAATTAGCATATTTAATTTAATAATACTAAAGTATACACTTGGTCCTTTAACTCTGTAAAAAGTTTCAATTTAGTCCATTAATTTTAAAAGCATACATCTAGTCCTTTATGAAGATTTTCTGTAACAATCATAGATGTTTTAATAATTATATTTAATATGTTAGTATTTAAAAATATTTATCAATATTTAAGATTAATGCCTCATTTTTAAAAAAATTTTATGGTTGACTAAAGGACTAAATATGTGTTTAGTCTTTGATAAACAAACTAATGCCGCACTTAAATTGCCGCCCGGAGTCCACGTCATAGTAGAAGACACCCGCCAATAATAAAGAAAGCTATATAGCCTCATCCCCGATTGAAAAGTGCCATGCACTCGATCTGTTCGTAGTCATTGATGAGCATTTATACGGAAGCGACAAAGCCTTGCTCTACCCGTTCCTCCCCCATTTGTCTTCCTCATTGTTCCGATTCAATTGGCAGAAAAAGGTACTGCTCTGCAATCTCAATTTTATGCGATTTCCTCTTTCACTTGATGATTCTTAGCTTAGGCCTGTTCCTTTCGTTGGCATGTTTAATTGCCGAGAATGCCTGAGGATTGGAGGCTGCAATTATATTACATGTGATGTCGGTGTTTAACTACTCAGACATTGTCCTCAATTTCTCGCAACTATCGCAGTAATTCCAATCAGCGAATGAAACATGGGAAGGATAGCGAGGGGTAGAGATAAAATTTTTGTCATTGATCTGTGATTCGTTTCGTTTCGACTTTTATGGTTACTACTGTCAGTACCTCAGTAGCGGGGCCAACTTTTAGAATCTCCTTCCCGTCGTGAAGGCATTTCGTGATCAGATATCATCTCTGATATGAATGATTTCTCGTTGGAACATAATAGGCCGTTTCACAGAACGAAAAGCATTAAAGCATGCTTTGGGGGACAATTCTATTCCTGAATGAGAATATATTTAGACTATTTACATTATCCATCCTATATCGCTTTCCAGGGGTCAGAAAAATTGATCTCATGATCTGCATTTGACAACATTTTGCTTCATCTGAGACCGTGACGGTGACGTTTTGTTGCTACTCATATTCAAGAATAATTATGCACTACACCTACGATTTGATATTCTGATTCTGCTTTACCCCTCACGTGCTCTGACTTTATATGTTAAGCTTTTACTCTGTCTCCTCTATGTCAACACACGTAAAAATTCAGCTCTTATAATTGCAGAAGTATCCTGACTTAGTGTTTGCCTTTTGAGTTCTTCTTGGATTAGGCAAGTTTACAGTATTTAGATTTTGAGGGAGGAGAGATCAGAATAACTGGTTTACTGGCTGTTGCTAGCTTTTATTCTACAAATATCTCATATCATCACAGAATTTTTATTCATTTTGAATTTGATCTGCTTTCTTTAATCAGAATAAAAACTCACTTTTCTACTTGTAATCTAATTTAAATTATTTTCTTTGCAGAAGTGAGTTACAAGTTTGAAACTTCGAATATTTTTCTTTTCATTCCTTCGCTGGTTGAAATTGAAGATCTTGTTGTCAGGGTGAGTGAAACATAAAGGAAGCTTCTTGTGCATATATGTCTTCACTCCACCCTTGTTTGCTTTTCATCTGCTGTTTATCTTTTGATGAGTAAGATCGACTGAACTGATTTTTTTTCGAAGATGTTCTTTCTGCCGAGTTCCTTCATGACGCTATTATTTCAGTTATAGACATCTTCATCATTCAACTTCAATGGCATCTGATCCATGGGTGAGGCAATATAATGAAGCATCAAAACTAGCGGAAGAAGTCAAGGGAATGATTTCTGCCAAGAGCGGACTTCCCCCTTCTGGACCTGAAACACAGCGTCATCTATCGGCAGCCCGGAGAAAAGTAACCATACTGAGGACTAAAGTTGAAATTCTGCAGTCACTTCTCACAACGCTTCCTGGCACGCAATCAATGTAAGTATCCTTTTAAAGGTGGTGTTTTCCTTAAGTATGCGTAATCAGGCCATGAATGCAGAGAAGTATGTCGAAAAATGGCAGATGCATCCGCTGAATATGGTAAATTGATAACCATGTATGTCTTTTCTGAGTCCTCCACAAGTGCGGAGAACATATTCTGTGTAGTAATTAACTATTCTGACTTGTGGAAGGAAAAGTCTGTCATTTATGGGAAATATGAATTGTTGTCATCCATGGTATTTAAAACTGATTATTGCTACAACCTATATTTTTGACAAATAACATATTTAGTCTAAATCAGGATTCATCCCTACTATAATTTAAGACTAGATTACATGGCTTTGACATTAAACTTTTCAAGTTCTTCGTGAAAAACAGAACAGGAAAAGAAATGAATCGACGCCAAGACTTACTTACTAATATAAGTTCCAAAGCAAATGAGATGGCTGCTACCCTTAACATGTCGGGTCTTGCTAATAGAGATGGCTTGCTAGGCCCTGATAAAAAGTCTGAAGAAGTCATGAAGAAAGCAGCTAGCTTGGACAACCATGGCCTTGTTGGTTTTCAACGACAAATTATTAAAGGTATGTTATGATGAATCTTAATACTCGCAACGAGTTCCAGGCTGTTGCAAGATTTTTATTTTATTTTTGTCAAGGCAGAGCAAGATGACGAGCTTGAAAAATTGGAAGAGACAGTTACAAGCACCAAACACATTGCGTTGGCTGTTAACGAGGAGCTTAACCTGCATACTAGGCTTCTGGTTAGCTAAGCTGCAATTCCTTTCCATATTTATCTTCTTCCATGACTTCCCCTAATGATTTTCTCACCTTGGAAAATTTTTAGGATGATTTGGATGAGCATGTGGATACAACCAATTCCCGCCTACAGGTCTGGCCCTTGGTCCTCTACAATTATGTATGCTCTTTGTTAATACAAGCATGTGGTTGATTGTTTGATACTGGTGGTGGACAACTTGCTATCAATATGTTGATATTAGAAAATTTTGGTTTTGATAGGAGAGGACTGGACAATTTATAGAAAAGTATAAAGCACTATTTCGTTAGCATAAACTAAGATAGATAACACTTGAATATTAGAACTATTAGAGAAGTAAAATGAATTTTCAATTGCTTGGAAGTGATGAATACCGCTCGTCAATTTTTACCTTCGTATAAAAAACCATTGATGATATTTTCCTCAAGGATCGACATTCATCATCTCAGTACCACCATCTTTCTTCCAATTACGGACCTCCTATTTTGTCTCAGTGGAATGAAGATGAGCAGTTAATTCATAGAAACAATTATCAATATGTAACATTTGATGAAATATAGAGCACCTCATGTATCTAATAGATTTCATTCTTCATCCAAAATGAACTAGTACACCTGCAGCTGCTGGTTGCATGAAATTGGTAGTTAGAAATCACAAGACATGTGAGACATTTCGAGGACACGTGTATTGAATTTCTGAATATGCGTTATCAGCTGCAATGATGTTCATGTTAGAATTGTTTTTATTGAAGCAGATGGCGCAGAGGAGGTTGGCCGTCTTGAGCAAGGGCACTAAAGGCGGCTGCTCTTGCATGATCCTGTTAGTCCTTGTTATCGTAATTATGATAATTGTTGCATGGGCATTGGTTAAATATTTGTAGCACATGCGAACTTGCAATCACTTTTATTCCCCTTCAGCAATGAAGCGATAGGTGCATGTGTGAACTTCTGTTTGTTATGCAGTTTCGGGAGTTACCATACCAGCAAGGGGGAAAACTCATTCATGCTTATATAAATTTAGGTTACTGTTTTCCAATCAACTTATATAAATTTAGGACCCGATTGTTGAGTTAGTTTTAGTCCTAAATATAAGACCTATTTTTTATATTTATCAATTTTTTCTAAATTACCCTTATGGATACTCTCTCAACTATAATTAAGTAGAAGAGGGAGATGAGGTATTATAAAAGATGATTATGATATTTTAGGAAAAACATGTTACATTTCTCATAATTAACTAACTTACCTAACTTTTTTAATCTAATCAAATTAGTTAAATGGATTTTATATTAAGAATCGGAGGAGTAAATTGTTTTACTTGTTGCTCTTTTTTTTTTAAATAATTTTTTGAAATTACAGGGGGATCAGATTTAGACCTCCCGTTTCCCCGGGGGGGGGCGGTGGTCAATACCCACTGGGTTACAAGATATTTGGCCCACCACCATTTTCCCCCCCCCTCGCAGTGAAAAGACCATTATTTTTTTTATTTATTTAAAAAGGTAGGTGCTATGAGTATTAGCGGGGTCTCCGATTTGCATTTACAGGGGAGGTTCAAAGCCACAAGGCCATAAGGCTATCAGAATATAATTTTACGTTACTATTGTTATCTTGTAAATTTTGATACCCATTTTTATTTTCTTGCCATAATTTAAATGTGCGATTGAGATTTTTATTGTAACTACGCTGTCTAGATGTCTAAACATGTATTACTTCTAATTCTAATTATAAGACCTCATTTGTACATTATAAACAAGGTTTTATAATTAGGATAGAAGGTAATATTATAATATAATATTTTTTAACTCTTAAACAATACAACTTATTATAAAAATTATGTAAAATTATGCTCAGCTCGTGATGGCTAACTGACTGAGTCGGTTCAGACTATCAGATGTGAACTTCTTATCATATTTATTTTAGACAGTTTTATTAGTATTGGATTTTGCGAAAATATTAAGCGTTTTATTATATAGCTGTAATAGAAGCAAACTCGCGTAACACCGCTCAAAATCTCAATTTTCTCCTCCGTCTGTCCCTACTGAAATAATATATAGATCAATAAAAAAGCAACATTTATATAATTTGTAAGAATTATTTAGTTTTACCCTCTATTGATGTTATACTGTTTTAAATTTTAATTACATTCATTATCCCTTCCATGTACAATAATAATCGCTGAAGAAAAGTAATAATTATACATTAAAACTTGGAATAAGATATATATTTAGGAATAAAAAGGAAATTCAAATTCGGACCACCAAATTGGGACTGAAAAGGCATTAAAATGAAAAGCTGAAAAACAGATTAACGAAATAATTTTTAAAATTTTGGAGTTTAGATTATATTTGAAATAAAGCAGAACATTTATTAGATCTCTGTAATTGATGAAAACATTTATAGTTACTGCTTAATTTTCTGGCGACCAAAAACACAGCTGTAAACTTGCTGCAAATGAAGCCCATAATTACAGCTTACCGCAACGGCTAATGACTCGTGGGTCGGGGCACGGTGGGGCGCATCCGCCGTCCGCTGCCCGCCCAAATTTAGCGCTATATATTTCCTTGGCGCTCTCCTTTCATCCATTACACAGTACATACAGTCTCCCACTGTACGCTCCTCCCTCGCCCTAACCTTAGTCTATACGCAGCTTGACCGCCATTGTTTCTATGTAAGCCCGCCTTACTAACCTAGCTTCTGTATAAGCTGCCTTACTAGCCTACATCTCAGGCGATAATTTGCTCAGGCGGTCAGTGTCTGGACTCCTACACTTGTGCACTTTCGATGTCTATTATATAGGAATATACATATGTTTGTGTGTCTATATATATATGTGCATATATCTGTATCTTTTAACACGTATTACTTGTGTGTACTTCGCCGATAAGTGTTTCAGATTGTCAATCAACACTTTAATATATATGAAGTTTATCTGGTTCAGTTTTTAATCATAATGTAATTGTTAAATCTCGTTATCTTTGGTGAATTTCGTCGCGCCTGACTTTGTTTTTCCCGACTACTTGATCGGTGTGAGCGTTGCACTCGTCTTTTGGCTGTTTTGTGTGTCTTTTTTTGGTCTAATACTGTTGTTTATATGCATGCTCCTGTCCTTTCTCACAGACAAAAATACAATTACGTGTGTGTACTTAAATAGTTGCCTTTCGTCCTTTAATGCTTTTGTCCTTTACAAGATTAATTATGCTGAAGTCTTCTGTATGCTCAGAGCACTTTATTGCTCAAGAAAATAGGTTGAAAATGGTAGGTTTTTTTGGTCTTTGTGCTGTCTATAATGTTATGAATATCAGCAGTGCATTTGATTTCAAGGTTCTCAACCATGCATGCTACTCATTTGAATTTATAATAATTCTGACTTTGTTTCTATCTCAGGATCATACAGGCCGCATTTCTGGACTAGTGCTATTGTGGCTGGATATGCTGATGAATTCTACCATTAACCTTTTATGTGGAGTTATCTTTGTATTTTAGAGCATCACTTGTAATTGAAACAGTTTTAGATTTGAAAATATCTTTAACGTCTGTAAACAATATACATTATCGTATTACTATATCCAATTTAATCATCTTTGTTATTCTCAATTGATTTGTATAGAACTAAGGCAGATTTATGTTTTTGTTTTTCCTCTTTTAAAAATGTACTTGCATTCTGATGAAATTTGTATACTGACATTTCTTTTATAATTGTAAAAGAAGCTTGAACTGAAATATTGGACAGTCTTTCTGAGCAGTGAAAAATGGAGAGTTTAGCACAATTGGAAACACTGTGTGAAAGACTTTACAAGTCACAGGACTCTGTTGAACGAGCACATGCAGAGAGTACCCTGAAATGCTTTTCCTTGAATATAGACTACATCACACAGTGTCAATATATTCTGGATAGTACATCGTCTCCTTATGCCTTGATGTTTGCTAGTTCGAGCTTGTTGAAGCAAGTGACGGAGCACAGCCTTCCTTTACAGCTCCTACTTGACATTCGTAATATTCTTGTTTTCTTGCGAGTGATTTATGCCTAGGACTATTATATGGCAATCTATAGATTTTGATTTTGATACTTGTTGCCTATTACATTTCATAGATTGTTTTCGCATGTTAACTTCTCAAGTTGTTATTATTATTGTATATTCTGTTGGACCATTCATGAAAGGTGTGATATTTCGGGTTTGGTCGTGGGAATTTGGCTGCACTGTCTTTGATTCTCTTGTTCTTTTTTTCTTGTTTATTTTTCTTATTTCAACCGTTTCCCCCCAAAATTGACCAAATTGCACTTTCTCTGAAGGAAATTATATTATAAATTATCTGGCCAGCAGAGGAGCTGACTTAGAGTCCTTTGTGCTTGGATCCTTGATACAACTCTTTTGTCGCATTACAAAGTTTGGGTGGCTAGAAGATGACAGATTCAAAGAGGTTGTTAAAGAAGGGATGAATTTCCTGAGTCAGGTATTATGATATGTTTCTAGAACATAAGCACATCCTTGTCAAAAATGTAATATGCTATTTTTGTATTTCTCGCAGGTGGTTTATCCTCTTTTTATTTTTCATTTCCTTTCTCTGATTGGTTATTCAGTAAAAGACATTTTTTAACCAGTTGCTGCTCCTATGATGGCTTATTGAGATTTGAAATATTCTGCTAATGTTATCAACGTTTGGTTTATTTTTAGTTTTGGTGTTTCTGTTTTGTACCTTTTAGTATATTTTGGAATCATATGCTCAAGATATGTCAGCAGGCACCACATCATTATGCCATTGGTTTGAGGATTTTGGACCAACTTATTTCTGAGATAAACCAGGTTTGTATATTGTCACTTTATGCATTATCAGAGACGTGTTAATTTCATGTTGATGCCAAATAAGCATGCTTTCCTTTTTGCGGTTTTTGATTTTGATAAATAAAAAACTTCCTTTAGATGTATGTTTTCTTTTATATTTATTATTTTTGTAAAGTTTTGGGGTTACTGTGAGGAATGATGTTCATACTCTGGACTCCATCCATCCCTCCTAGGCAATTGGTAGTAGGTGCATTGGGTGCAGTCTCCTCCTCCTTACTTAAGTGACAATGTAAACAGTATTCATATTGCCTCTAATGATTGCATATTTTAAGCTCTTTACAGTGGCTTTCAATTCAATTGCTACTTTGGCAACTGAATTCCCCTTTCGGCTTCTGATTATTCTCTTGCATTTTCAGCCTATACCTCGTATACCTCCTACTCGTCAACGTAGGATAGCTAACTCCTTCAAGGATCAGTCACTCTTTCAGATATTCCAGATATCATTAACTTCTCTCGTCCAGCTAAAAAATGATGGTACGTTAAACTTATGACTATGCGAATATATATACGGGTGCTTGTGTGCTCACTTCTGAAATTTTGAATAAGCTCACTTGGTATATGTATGTCTGTTGGTGCAACTTTTAGTTGGGAGCAAGTTGCAAGAATTATCTCTTTCACTCTCTCTTCGGTGCTTATCATTTGATTTTATGGGGACATCCTATGATGAAAGTTCAGATGAGATTGGTACAGTTCAGGTATATTGCTGGGCTGAACCTGCTTAGCAGTTGAACTCATCAATAGACATATATCTAAATTTTCTATAGCTTGGGTTCTTGGTTTGAAATTAGATTTTGCAGTGCAGGTTCCAACTTCTTGGAAACCAGTCCTCGAGGATTCCTCAACACTGCAAATATTTTTTGATTACTATGCAATGAATCAACCATTTTCAAAGGAGGTATTGTTCCATAGATGGGAAAGTCAATGATTTTAAGTATCCTTCAAGCTTATATATTTTACTTCTGATTCAGTTTTTTTTTTTGGAAAGTTGGATTGTTTTAGTAGGTGGTAAAAAATCATCCTCAACTTTGTCTTTTTTTGTATTGCTACACTTGATAAAATGATTTTCTGAATAGTATTTTGATCTTGTATCAGTAATGATTCTTGTCAGCCAAATCTATATGTTTATTTTCGTTCGTGCTGTATGGCATGCTAGTGTTGCTTATTAGGTTGAATCAGGGGATTGATGATCATGTGAATTTCAC